AATCTGATTTCTGCTCATTTAAATTATTAAACATTGCTCATTTAAATGCTAAACAGTGCCATGACACTGCAACTTTGGCCTCAAGATGGCATCCACGCGTTGGAGTGGCCATACTCTGTTTATATAGGGCTCTAATATAACCGTCACGCCAGCGCCACCTGGATTTTCAGATGTAGCGCTAGTTACAATTATTCGGCCGCCACACAGAGCATCAACCTCACCCAGTTTAGCTGGTGGAAGTTACACACCAAAATACTGTATCGTAAACGCTTCCAATGATTCTATCCAGGGCCGGGACAGCTTCCCTATCATCAAATGTCACCACACGCCACTGGCATGGACATATACAGTAGTATAAAGAATCGCATAGTAATTACCACATTTTCCAATGAAATAAATACTTGTATAACTTTATTTCAAAACTTAAGAAACATTGTATCTGCTGCATATTAAGAGTTAACATTGCTGTTATTTTGAAACTACATAATATCGTATCACTATACAGTGGGTGATCGGTTAACGAACAAATCGGATAACGAACACTTTCGCGAAAGATTTTTATGATCGGAGAACGAACACATGATCAGATAACAAACACTTCATTGAACAAACATAAAAAGAAGCGACGAAAATAGCAAATACCGATTGATTTTCCTTTGTTTTCATGTAACTTTTTGGAAAGCGAGAGACGTCAACGTCAACGCTCAACCCGATATATACTGATCAGATAGTATTCCTTGAACTTTGAAATACTCCCTTGTAATTCCAGCCTTTTATTTTTCTGACAAACAATTCTTTTATAGTATTCGCGAGATTGTCGGGCGGGCACTCGTTAAGTTTTGCGTCGGGCTTTTTCGAAAGGTGAGAGTATAATAGCAAAGGTAGAGTGTGGGCAGAAGATGTCTGATGTTGCTGGGCAGTATGGCTTGAACAAATCTACAGTAGGCCGCAGTTCAATTTTATCTAAGAAAGATACTGTATAATTAAGAAAACTCAAGCAGCTAAAAGAGTAACAAATATCACATCTGAGAAATAAAGAACATTGAAGAGCTTATTATGGAACCTGAAACGGATCTGACGACAGAAGAACGCCAAGAACTCTTGAATGAAGAACACCAAGAAACTGAGCGAGATGTTTTATTATGAAAAAGAGGATTAATGCCGATATCTGCTATTAAAGATCTTTTGAAGAAATGGGAGATGTCAGATCAACGGTCTTACAATGACATACAAACCAGGTTGAGGTTAATAGGCTTGGAAATCTCTACAATTACAATGTTATTAATTCTAAAAAATCCTGAAGAGAGAAAAGCTATCGACATTAGACAGATTATTTAACCCCCGCAAACAAAAAAAACAAGACTAATAAAAATGCAAGTCTGTGTANATAGTAATAATTGTCAGATTAATATTAATAAATTAAAAATAATTTTTAAGGAAAAAAATATTGTAAAGCGAAAGGTAAAAGAACACTTCGCTATAATTATGCAAAACAATAATGTTAATTTAAATACCGGAATGTTAACAGCGGCATGCTGGGAGTTTTTTGTTAACTGTATAAGTGGCTCTTCAATGAGTTGACTGTTTGAACGTAGATTTTGTGCTGTAAGCCCCACTGAAGAGGCCATAGGCGAAATGCATTTGGGAAGCTTGTTAGTAATGATGTAAATAAAATTTTTTTTCTCTCTGCAGATTATTTTCTTTTTTATACCTTTTTAAACTCTGTTTTTTAAAGATTTTATAGTCATTATTGGCTTGTTTTTTTTGAAAAATTGAAGTTTTATATTATCCAAAAGTCAGAAAGGAAAGAAAAATATAATTTTTTCGTAATTTTACATTTTATGTAAGAAAACAAAAGAAAAAATGTGTGTATATATATATATATGTTATTTTTGGGGGTCTCCAGAATGAATTAATCAAATTCCCATACAAACTTATGGTAAATTGATAATCGGTTATCGAACAATTCGGATAGCGAACAAAATCTTGGAACGGATTATGTTCGTTAACCGATCACCCACTGTATTTGAATACGAGGATACGCAACAAGTCTGAAACCTCCCTAATACTCCGCTCTATTTGTTGTCTTAACATTGTTTTTACCATGATAATATTTATTTATTTAACTTTCCACGAATAGTAATATTCTTAGCAAAACTTTTTCTCTAATTTGTAATTGTATTTTGATCTTTCTCGTGTAATTTATTAGGAAACTTCTTGAAAACATCGTTATCACGAGATAATTAATTTTTAATAGATATTTAGAAATTTTCATACACAATTTATTTTCATTATATAAAACTTTCGATGAATACTTGTATACCCGACTTATTAATAAAAGGTTCCGTTTAAAAATATCGATAATAACTAAAGTTAGGCTAAATGTTCGGATTTCTAATTCTTTAACAAAATTAACTTACAGCAGTGATGGGCAAACTACGGCCCGCGGGCCAGATGCGGCCCCCTGAAATGTTCTATCCGGCCCGCGCGACATTATTCCTAATCTGACGAGTAAAAAAGAATACAGGCTGTGGTGGTTGATGCACCACTTAACTTGAGTGTTCGTTGATTATATAAAATAACCGAAGCTTTATATCTCACCATGAAAGTTTATTTACAATCATGTACAAAATTTTGTTTTACACTTATTGAGTAAAAGCTCGATCGGTTACAAGCATGCTTCGGTACAGAACATCCACTCGTCGTGCGTAGCGTAGCCGAAAGAGAGAAAAAGAAATATGGCGGACGGCCTGCACATGTTTTTATAGCGCCACCTGGATTTTCAGATGCAGCGCTAGGTTAAAATTATATTGGCCCGCCTAAAGTTTTCTTCTTTTCCTTTGGCCCGCTCTTTAAAAAGTTTGCCCATCACTGACTTACAGTAATTTTATCAAATTCTTATTCGACTCAAAATTACATTAACTATAAATTTCACTTTTAAGATAGGTCGATAATGGGCTGCAATTTGAAAAAATGCTAGACCTATAAATTCCCGCTGTCTGTCTGTCTATTTGTCTGCCGCTTTCGTTAATCTCGAGAACGAAGTTAGATAGATAAAAGACAAGACCAGATATGGAAAGCTGCAAACCGGAAGGCACGTTATTTCAATTCAAAAATTTTCTCCCGAAAGCAGTTAATAGATGACCGTCACGACTCTACTGTTAAAGAAAAAGTATGATGTACAGGGGCAAACCACTACTAATTTGAGGTGGAGAGCATATATTTTAAATGAAAGAAGTTAAAAGTATGATTAAAAACTGCAGCCTGGCATTGTGATAATGAAACAGTAAATAATTGCTCGTTCATATTCAATTTCATAGTCGCAGATAAATTAATTTAATGTATAATGCGAATCGTAAAAAGCGGGAAAATATAAAAAGATTGAATGATAAAATATTAAGATTTAAATTGTATGAAAATAAATCAAACCGGACATTTGCTTTCCAACAATTTAATCACAAACGAGATTACAAATGACAACGAATATCATCATCATATCGACCGATTCGAGCCGTTGCCTTTATAAATATTATTATTTTCGATATTGGCAATTTAATATGATTAAAGCACGTTGAAACAGAAATACATTAACGAAGGAGTTTCCAATCTGTCTAAGGCTTAATGTTTACTTATATATAATAATTAATTTCAATTCCGAGACGATTAAGTTAACTTGGTTCGATGCCAGTTACATTAGGAACGGATATAGTTACGTTCCAGCAAAATATATATATTTTGACGCTTTGATCTACTAATTTTTATTGCACGATAACAAATAAAGTTGACTAAACGTCGATCTAAAGTACTTTCAATCTGGTCAGAGCGCTACTCAGTCGACAGGTTTCCGACTTGATGGAGTCGACCAATCGAACCAATTGTTTGACATCGTCCAGAACCGTCACCGATTGTGTGAAGGGATCGTACCAGATCTCGAATATTCGAGGAATTCGTTGATATACAAATTGCCTAAAACACACAAAAAAACCTTATAAGCTATCATTTATTTAAAAAATAAATCGGAAATTGTTCGATTTACACAAATAAAAAGTAGGCATATTATTTTGAATGAAGTTCATAATTATTCTTATAATTTTTAATCAAATTAACTTAATATATTATTGAAAAATTTCGAAAGAAAATTAAATTAGAATAGAATTAAACATATACTCCTCATATTTCATGTAAGGAAATACTGTGTATAGAATTTACAAATACGGGAATGTACTGTACATACAGTGCAGTACATTCCAGTATTTGCATTATAGTTTATAATTAAAATAATTTACAATAGTTTAAAAAATAAAACAGTTTTCGTGAAGCGACAGAATTTTATTAAATAAAGATAAATTCAAATTCGTGTTGTTGAAGGAAAGAGCTCCAACATATCAAAAATACCAACATTATATCAAAATTCTACGGGTTTACGAAAATCGTGTTTTATTTCTTGTTTATTGATAATTTTAAGAACAAAAAAATCTGGGAAAAAGTCAATATATCTACGGAAATTACCGAAATTTTTCTTTGACGTCATCGAAACTCTCGGCCACGTAATACACGTCTTGATAATCCTGGTCTTGATAGGGTTGAACGGCAGTCTGATCGGGAACGAAATCTCTCAGTTCGGGTTTCCCGGATAAAGCGTGCTAAATTCGTAATAAATATTGCACAATATTAATTTCAACGAAAGAAGAAAGGTAACTTTTAAACGTTTCGAGTCATTAACGACCGACTTCCGCCCTTATCGATTCTTTACTGAAGTCATTAAACGCGGTCGAATAATTTTCCAAAGACGTCCAACTTTCGAAAATCAGATAAAACTCTCGAATAACTCGCAAAATTGTCAACAAAAATTTAGCATACTTTAAGTTCTCCGTAAGAGGAGAGCAATCCCGCTCCGTAAGCTTTAATTTGTCCGTCTTGTTTGCATAGTCCGAATTCTACAGTGAACCAATATAACTGAAAATAAAATATCAAAAAAGATATAATTAAACTTGAAATTGGCATAGTCTAATTCAAAAATAGGAAAATAGGTGAATTACCGTTGCGAATTTTTCGATATTTTCGTCCGATGCTCCGAGAGATGCCAAACCTATTTCTTGAGAAAATTGCGCGAAACTTGGATCGGCCAACATCGGCACGTGTCCCAATAATTCGTGTATACAATCTCTGAAATTTTAAATTGTTCCTTTATATCTTACATACAAAATGGCGCTTAAAGAGAACAATCGTAAAGTAAATATTTACGGTTCGGGTGAATGATTCGGGGAGGAACTATGTCGAACATATTGAGTACACTGAAACACACGATAAGCCAAACTGGCCAAAAAGTCTCTGGCAGTTAATAACCCCGCAGCTGGTCTGAGACTGAATCCAGTTTTTCCTAAAACCGAATTAAAATTTCTTGAAATAAAATCATAAAACAATTAAAATAATACGTCAATGGGAATAAACGAGCTTTACTTTTCAAGAATGAAGAAACGTCTTCTAATTGAGGTATGTTATTCACTCGATATCCGCATTCCTTTTCTAGCAATTGAAACACTTCCAAATGTTGTCGACAAGAATGGCTTTCGTATAAAGTGCTTAATTCTTTATATACGGTCCCCCTACAAATCCAACGATTTATAATAAGTTATATCTTTTAACTATCGAATAATTTCCAAATTAATGTCACTAAAATACATTCGCGATTTAGTGACATTTATTTGAAAATAATTAGTAATGAAATAAAGTAGTATTCTCATCATTATTCTTATCTGACTCATTACTTTCGCTTATAACGATATACTTGCTTACCACGTTTTAATTTCTTCTTCGGTATATGCGATTCTCGGTATGGCTTGACCACTGTAATCATAAATATAACTTTTTATTAAGTAAAGCACAATCAATAACTTTCTACGCTATATAGGCTTTTAATAAACTATGTTACGGAAAAATTTATACTTTTATTTGAATTGTATATACAGATATTTTAATTTAAATATTTCAAATCCATTAATCTTACGATAAAGTTTGTACGCATTAGAATTTAGGATAGCATTTTCTTTATTTTACGTATAAAATTCAAAAGAGAATGCTTTGAAAGGAGTCTGTATGGTTATTTGTAATGGATCCTAATGGATAAGTCCGGCTTGTTAGTTAGAATTTCCAAATTCGGAAAAGACATCCTTTTCTATATCGATAAAAAGGAGATGAATATACACTCACTGTCTATATTCGAAGGCAATTTGTGCGATCTCTTTCCTGCGAGCTCGATACACCACGTCCGAAAATCCCTGAAAAGTTTCCAAAATATAAATATTAATTATTTATATTTTCAAATGTTTTCTATTATAAAATAATCTTAAAATTAAATTATTGGAGTATAAAAAATGTTAGAATCGATAAACGATGAGAATGCAAATATTAGTTCAGTTCTCTTATTTAAAGGATTTCGTTTATATGACTAATATTTACAGTTCGAGAATTATTTATTTATTTTAAAAATATATAAATTTTCATCTGTAAATAAATAAAAGGTTAAAACACGTTTTAATTCTTTATTACTGGTTTAGTTTTATTGGTGTTATTAGTATCGGTTTAGTTGTTTATTATTAATTTAGTTGGTTATTAAATAAAGGGAATAAACATTAATCGCATGTAAAGTAATGGCTCAATAACGAATTTTGTGCAAATTTGGGTAACAGGTATAAATAAGTAAAAAATAAAAATAAATAATAATAAATTAGATGCAATCTTTGAGTTTTCTTGTTATAATTTATACATAAATACATAAACATATACATAATAATTACGTAAATACATAAGCCTGTATCGATTTTCTCGACTAAATTTCAACAAAACTAATTGAAAAAAAAAATCGTATTTAAATTATATAATTAATTTAAATTAAAGGCAAACGATTTCAATGAAATTAGGCCTATATTAAATAATTTCTCCGAGAATTTTCGTCAATGTATGTTCTTGTTTGATGGACAGTGATGCAACTCTCCATGTACTGTACGTTATGAGTTTTACTTAAGATTCGAATGTAATCGATGCTAATACCTTAAAACTTTTAGAAATTTTCAAATCGATAAATAAAACATTGCTTTTGTGAAATACTTTATAAAACAAAAGACCTACTACTAATAGATTGTAGAATTTGAAAAATCAGTTTCTTTGTAGCTTCGTATTTTAATTAGAGCGCCCAAAATTTATGCTGTTTGTAGATTTTTAAGAATTCGAATGTCTTAAATTACTTTTACGGCCATAAAATATTTTAAAGACGTATCCATTCTACTTCCAGTTCATATTTATTCTAAAATGGTCAGATTTTATATAATTTTTATAACGCAAAAATAAGTAAATAAATTTCGATAAAATGAACTTATTTTATAATTAATATCAAAGGGATATTTTTTGATTACGATGACATTTGAAAGTGAAAAATACTTGATAGTTATTAAAGTATTTAAATGATTAATATAAACTAGCTAAAAAGACTCATTAAATTTTACTAAAATACAAATTGCATTCTGTCGAATCTATTTTATTTTTGAATTAATAAAATTTCGAAGTTTGTGGAAATACCTCAAAAATAAATAAGAGGTCTATTTTGTAATATTCTTTAGTTTCTTTGAAAACTTCGAATGGTCTGTATATTAAATCAATATATTAGGTTACGTCAGTGGCGTGCCGTGACATTTGATGATAGGGAAGCTGTGTTTCTATAAGAAGCCGACTTCCAGGGGCAATCAGTCAGCAATGGTGTAGGGTCCATTCGTATTCGTTTGTTTGATAAGCCAGTAAAAACCGTAGACTTCTCTAAATGTATTTTTAATTAATAGATTATCTAACGCACTTAATAAATAAGCAAGTTCAATATAATTAACTCTCTTATATTAGATTTAATAGATTCTATACGCCCTCTAAATGCCAATTCTCGCTTCGATAACATCTACTAATTAAAATATATCTATTAGCCGTAACTATCTCGTTATAATTTTCAATATATATTTTATATTGTGTACTAATGTTAAATTCTATTCTATTTTGATTTCCAAATTGCTTCAATTTTACGAAAGAATCGATGCGAGATTTAGGATTTTCGTGTCTTTTGCCAGCTTTACTCAAATTATTTAAATCGTCAAAGCCAATCTCATTCTACACACTAATTTTATTTGAAAATAGTAGGCAAGGCCAACAAAACAAATTTTGCATTTTTATGCATCCACAAAGCCATTTTATATCTTCATAAATTTTATCATGAAAATGTCGAACAAATTTTTTCTTTTTCATTATATGGTCTCGAGCCAAAACTTTTTGAAATAAATTTTCGATATCACAATTACATTCTAAATTGCTAGCTATAATATAAGGGCTAAAATTAAAAATAAAATTATAAAAACTTACTTGTTAAAATAAAATGTGTGATGATATACAATTATACATACCTGGTACAAAATATTCAATTGTATGAATATACTTTTAAAGAAAATTATAAATATAGTTTTGTGAAGAAACGTACATAAAAATAACATAAAATAGTCTTTACTTTTTAAATATTAAAACAATCCACCTAGTTAAAATTGCTCCCTACCAGTGGCTCGTGGATGGAATCAGAGACGGTCTTGGTAGGTGTGCGGTGCGGTGCATGCTTGCCAAATCCCGAGGGTGCCGATACCGGTTAATGTCTCTTTTGTCTCATCACTAGTATATCTCAAAGGACGCGACAGGGTTGTTGTAAATTTTAAACGTTTCTCATCATAGCTGTAAAAATCTAAATTTGTTAAACTTAAAAGTCATTTGTTTTCTAACTACTGTAATTCGTTTTAAGACCAGGTGTCCACGGAAATTTCCAAAATTTACAACTTTTACTCACTTTCATTGAACTGGAAAAATTTCTGTCTTTATTACATCTAATATTACGAAGAAATCAGTCCCACTGTACTCGGCTAGATATTGGTCCGGTTAGGCTTTTGTTTAAGTAAAATTCCGGCTCTTTCATCAGGGTTTTGTTTACGTCCCCAATTCCCTAATCGCTTAATTATTTAACTACTTCTTAAGTAGAAATAAGTCGAAACCAGTTACTTTGTACTCGAATATTTGTAGTCTCGGGAAAAAAGTGGAAAGACAAATTTTTACGACAACGGATACATAAATCGTAAATTTAAGGAAAATAAATTCTAGAGCCTTTTCTGTACCTCGTGCATCTCTCTCATTCATTAAATTTAGTTGTAAATGATGCTGTCGAAGTAACGGTTAATTTTTTAACATTATACAAGAATTGTACACGTTTTTTTCTACATCCCCTTAAAGATGGGATGTACGAAATCGTAATATCACTGGTTTAACATCGAAATCCGTGAGTAATATAAAATCGGAGAGCGGAATAAATATATCAAATATTTTAATGGATTTTTTAAACTCCTGTCAACTATACAGAACTATCGTAAAAACATACCAGTAAATTCTTATCGGTTGGGTTAAGTTATAAATCTACTCGTTATTCACGTAATCGAAATATCTAGTGGGCAGGCGGCTAACAGCCCAGAACCGGTCCTTGATAGAATTGGAATCTTTATATGTGTGCAGCTTTCACCCAAGGTCGTAGGCTTCCACCGGCTAAACCGGGTGAGGTTGGTGCTCTGTAAAGCGCATGCGCAAATCTGGCTTTTCGTAATCTGAAAATACAGGAGATTCCACTCCGCCACTAATATTCTAATATACAATAGCAATTTTTTTTCCACGTGTAGTATAGAAATTTGTAATAAGATACATAATGCGGTTATAATAAAATATTGTGCGATTATTTTCATATAATTAAAATTAATATTTATTTATTTTTTAGAGAATACGAGGGAAGCGGCGCTTCCAACGCTTCTAATGACGGCATGCCACTGGGTTACGTGCAACGTTCTTTTATATACATATAAGCTACTATATATCGCAATAAAAAATGGATCTTTTTGAATTTAATTTCTCCAACATTTATACTTTGATCTATATTTGAGAGTGAGGATTAAATATTATCTCGTTTCTATGAGAAACTTCCGATAACATATTTTCAGATATGCTTACTTTCTATAATGACTAGCAATTACAAAAATTATATCTTATTACAAATTGTTGCATTTCGTATCGATTTTCAAAAAGTTAAAATGTTTGGCCTTCATTAGTTATAAGTTAATTCGTCGTTACAGTATGTATTATATAGTACATACTGTAACATGCCGGAATATATGTGTCTGACATTGAAAGTCACAAATATATTTTCTTTACGTTCAATGATGTTACGAATACATTAAAATGAGGTATGCTAGAATATAGAAAACAATTATCAAAGACATCAACCAAATAATAGAAATATTTGATTTAAATTTTGTTTCCGGACGTATAGTTATGATTCGAGAAAAATCACATTTTTAAACTTAACCATGCGATCAAAAATGCTGTATATTTTTTCGATATTCAACTCTAAATCTAAGAATATGAATACATGTTAGCTAATGAAGCATTCCATCTTTACTTATTCAGTGTACAGTTCATCAGAAAGTGACGTTCGTATTCATTTAAATTTCTCGTGATGAAATAACATATGATATCGAGATATCGATTGTTTTATAAAGGCTTATTTTGTAAAATGTGCTTATTTAAGAAAGATATTGTTTATATTTAAACTGAATTACGGAAGTTTTTATAATGGAAAATACGTACAGTACTTGTAAGATACATCTTTTTAGTGATAAAATAAAATTATTCTTGAAATTCTTAGTGTAAAGTATCGGAATTTACGTATTTAGGTATGAATCCTGTTCGGTAAAAATTCTAGGTGCACTTTTCTTATTATTAAAATTTCTCTGGTATTATGTCTTCGATATAGGGGAGACCGGGGCAAGATCGGCATGTTAAGCTTTACTTAAATTTTGTGTAATAAATACTGCTGGAAACTGAAAAAAAAAAGCTTTGCATATTGTCTATTGGAATGTTTTCTTACTTTAGAACTGGTTAAAATCAGTTTGGAAATAAAAATAATTAAAATAATTACAACTTAAGAAGAGAGAAATTGTCGAAGTTGCCCCGGCGGGTATAGGGGCAAGATCGGCAACTTCTCTCTTTTTGTAAAGTTGTAATTATTTTAATTATTTTTATTAAAGTTGCCCCTGGTATAGGGGCAACAGTAATGGGGCAAGATAGGCACGTATATAAAATTATGTTATTAACAATGTATAAGTTGGAATTCACTATTAAAACAAAGAAATACAAATCCAACACCCATTTAATATTATTACAACGAAATGCAAGTTCAAAGACATATATACATGAATAACAAATGCAAACATGTTTTCATTTATCATCTGTTTGATTTTTATCCTTTGCTTCTAATGTGGCTTTATGTTGCCGATCTTACCCCGCTAGTCATGATTTCGAAACATTAAGTACAACCCTGAGAACAGAATGCCAAGCCACGATCTGGCCACGTGAATAAGTTGAAGTTACATCCTTCTAACAGGAAAAGTAACTTTCGTTATCATGGAATTATAACAAAACCTGCCAATTCAATATAAATGGAAAAAAAATATTATATGGAATTGAACGAAAATGAAAATTTGCTTGATAATTCAACTACGCTTGTTGGAGAACAATAAAAACACTACACTCAACAAGCCACCAATAAAACTCAACTGCCTAACCTATAACCAAAGTCTCCTTTTAATTTGTTTTTAAAAATAAAGCGCTTGACAAACTTGCCCCGTATGCCGAAGTTGCCCCGGTCTCCCCTATAGGAAAGTCATTTCTAATTAAATAATTTATTTTTTCGACTTTAATATCCTCCGACTCTACATCGAACCATCGAACGTTATAGCATATACGTGTGAAATATGATTCAAAATCAGGTATTATCCGCAGCGACGGCAATCTTACGGGTTTTAGTATTTCCTCAGGTGACAGTAGGCCTATTGTAGTGTAATTCACAAATGAAACAAACATTTTTTGAAAAAAGGAAAACGTTCTTTAGAAAAATAGTCGAGAATCGTCACTTACATAACTTCAAAGTTTGCTTATGTTACAAGCGAGACATTGATATAAGAGTTCTCTCGTAAGATAAGCTGAACAACCGATAAAGGGCATTTCCTTTATCGGTATCTAAAATAGCTCAATCTGTCTTTTCTATCGTTAATGATACAACGTAATTATGATAAATACATTTAAATTGCAATTAAAAATTATCTCAATCTTTAATGTTTTTAGATTCTGGAAGTTAAAATACAAATTTATTTTATTAAACAACAAAAGAAATCAGATTAAAGAATATCTTTCAGCTTCCCCCCAAAAGGAATTTTTTTAAAAATAAAATTAAAAATAAAGAAATTTTTTCGTATTATAGCAATATATCACATAAATTTGATATTTTTTAAAGTTGAAAATTAATGAATATTACAAAAATAAAAACTTTTCATAATATTTAATAATTTAATAGAATTACCAAAGAAGTATAAAATCATTTAAAATAAATTTTTACATACAAATTTATAAAATTAATTTTACAAAAGCCTTAAAATATAAATATCAATTTCAAAAATTTTATTTTTCAATGGTAGATATTTTTATTTAATATTTATAAAGTTTGCTATTTAAAATTAAAATTCAAAAATTTATTTAAGTATGTTTAAGAGCTAATCTTTTTCTTTATAGTTTTGGAGGGAAATTTTTAAAAAGATTTATAAGAGTTACTTAGTTGGATTCGCCTAGTAATCTAATGTATACAGAACTTNTGAACGAAAATGAAAATTTGCTTGATAATTCAACTACGCTTGTTGGAGAACAATAAAAACACTACACTCAACAAGCCACCAATAAAACTCAACTGCCTAACCTATAACCAAAGTCTCCTTTTAATTTGTTTTTAAAAATAAAGCGCTTGACAAACTTGCCCCGTATGCCGAAGTTGCCCCGGTCTCCCCTATAGGAAAGTCATTTCTAATTAAATAATTTATTTTTTCGACTTTAATATCCTCCGACTCTACATCGAACCATCGAACGTTATAGCATATACGTGTGAAATATGATTCAAAATCAGGTATTATCCGCAGCGACGGCAATCTTACGGGTTTTAGTATTTCCTCAGGTGACAGTAGGCCTATTGTAGTGTAATTCACAAATGAAACAAACATTTTTTGAAAAAAGGAAAACGTTCTTTAGAAAAATAGTCGAGAATCGTCACTTACATAACTTCAAAGTTTGCTTATGTTACAAGCGAGACATTGATATAAGAGTTCTCTCGTAAGATAAGCTGAACAACCGATAAAGGGCATTTCCTTTATCGGTATCTAAAATAGCTCAATCTGTCTTTTCTATCGTTAATGATACAACGTAATTATGATAAATACATTTAAATTGCAATTAAAAATTATCTCAATCTTTAATGTTTTTAGATTCTGGAAGTTAAAATACAAATTTATTTTATTAAACAACAAAAGAAATCAGATTAAAGAATATCTTTCAGCTTCCCCCCAAAAGGAATTTTTTTAAAAATAAAATTAAAAATAAAGAAATTTTTTCGTATTATAGCAATATATCACATAAATTTGATATTTTTTAAAGTTGAAAATTAATGAATATTACAAAAATAAAAACTTTTCATAATATTTAATAATTTAATAGAATTACCAAAGAAGTATAAAATCATTTAAAATAAATTTTTACATACAAATTTATAAAATTAATTTTACAAAAGCCTTAAAATATAAATATCAATTTCAAAAATTTTATTTTTCAATGGTAGATATTTTTATTTAATATTTATAAAGTTTGCTATTTAAAATTAAAATTCAAAAATTTATTTAAGTATGTTTAAGAGCTAATCTTTTTCTTTATAGTTTTGGAGGGAAATTTTTAAAAAGATTTATAAGAGTTACTTAGTTGGATTCGCCTAGTAATCTAATGTATACAGAACTTACCGGGTGATCGTGATCCAAATCGGGTTCGAACTTGGAAGTTATGTGAGAGCAAAAGTCCAAGTCGCTAATATGTCGAGGAAACCAGGGTTCTGTCACGAAGGATGAAACTTATTAATTTCGGACGACTTTCCTTAATCGATTCTAGACTTTACCTTTAATGCTCAACTTCTCGGTTCCCAGGACTACTGCTTCGGCTAATTCGCTCTGTCGAAGACTTTTAATCAACAGCAGTAATCCATCTCGAGTTATATTCAGACGAGCGAATACGTCGTAGTGACGAGAATTACGTTGTGAGCTTCTTGTTTCCAAATACGTTATTTCTCCTTTGCTTGTCTAATAACGGTTAAAACTATATTAAAATCTCAATGCATAAATTAATTTATTGCCGAATTAACGGAATGGTAATTACTTACTTCGACGATCGTTAGAACCGAGGGAAGAAGATTTATTCCTCCGTACAGGTTAAATATTACATTAGATGTTTGTGGTTTCTCTGCTTCCTCTTCTGGTATTTCACTAACTAAAAATACCTACGAATAAGTCAAAGTTTAGCCTAATTAGTATAAATAAATGAAAACATCTTTTAAAACAAAGAATATCGAAACGAAAATGTCCATTTATTAATTGATCATTAAAACATTTACGATATAAGTCTATGACGTTCAGCTTCTGCACAATTCTGTTATTTCGGCACTGCTCAATGTGTTGATATAGGCTAAACAGCTTTGTTATCACTCGAGACATGACATAAGTTAAGCGCGTAAAATATTTTATAAAGTAATTATTTGTTTTATAAATAAGCTTATTCTACGTATCTGATAGAGTGTGTATGTGATGACAAATTCTTTCGTCACGTAGAACACTAGAATAAAAATATAAATGGGGAATCCGTTACTTCGTTTTCTTTATTTTTATTTTTGTATGTAACTATGTTTAATTAAAATACAATCTTTCGATACCCGGACAAATATATGTCACGTTATATATATTAGCTTAAATGTGGCGCTTAGCAGTTTTATTATGGACTACATAAAAAATTTATTAATGCCGTTTAAAATATTTGAATATAATGTGAAAAACATTGTATGTAAACTATCATATTTTCTAATTTTGTTTGTTTCGTCACACTGATTTTGTAATATATAATCAAATAGAAAACTTCTAATTTTCTGCGAGAGAAAAATTATTAAGCTAATTTCAGAATTTGTTACAATAAAGTTGTATTTATTCTTCTATATCTACAGAAATTTCGTAAATTCTAGATTTTCACGAGCTAGTTGAACAATAACCAATAAAAGTCAATAGAAGTGTATCATAAATTTATTACTATAAGTAAAATATATTGTATATTATACTTATCGTGTATTTTCTTCTAAATGGTATTGAAATCAGTGACAACATTAACTTAGAAACTCTCAAATGATTTTATTGATAAGCAAATAACGTTCGAAGTCATATATATGTGTATGCCTATTAAAAGAAGCTTAAAGTTAGCAGAAGAAAAAATATAGATTTGATAACATACTCAAGTGAATGTTATTATTATCAATGGATTTAAGTTTATCTACATAGTTTATATGGATTACGCATTATTATTGAAAGATGAACGTCGTATAGTAGTCGATCACACTTTGTTGTTCTCTCAGTCGAGATGTTGATTCCTTTCTTTAAATAGACATTTATAAATAAAGAAAATCAATCAATAAATAAAGAAAAGAATTTCAATTCCGGGATTTAATCGAAGAAATACGGTATATTTACGCTGAATATCTTCTTAAATCTTTATTATTAAACACAATAAGAAAATGATCTTCAATGTTGTGAAATGACAGAAACGCACTTCTGTAAGAATACTCGAACCGAATAAATAGAAATCAATTACGTGTAATTGCAGATTGCTGTTCCGGAAACGAACGCTTTTAATGAAATTACTTTCTTTCGGAATGAACAGTACAATAAAATTGTTAGGCCTACTGGTTTAAAAAATATTGAAAGTAAAATTTGGAACTAAACCAATTTTTATATTGTTTTTTATACAAGCCCGTTGGTTTTGTGGGAATAGCGGCATTTTTATCAAATTGATGTTACAATGTTTTTTTATGGAGAAAGTATTGGAATGATATCAAATTAAGTTAATTTCAGGCTTTTAGTTTCAAATAAATGCCAATCGTTTCATTTTGCTAAACTGTGATAATTTCTTCGCAGTTTCCGTGCCAAAAAGAAACAGTAAAGAAATGAAAAGAAAGTAATAATATAGAAATTCAAAATGTAGAAAATAATCGAAAATTCAAAAAAATAGTGTATATATAAGGAGTATTTAATGAATTAAAAAAATTAAATTCGGAGCTAAATCAAAAATATTTACTAGTAATAAGTACCCTGATAAATATGTAAGAAGAAAAGAAATTAAGAACATTTTAAGATAGCTTGTTAATATTTTTATGTTAAAAAGAATTGGTCATTAATTTAAAAATAATGAAACTCCGAATTATATTCGATGTTATATCGGTTAAAACTTAGTATATGTCACAGTTTGTTTACTAATTAAAGAATTAGTCGTGAGTGAAAATCGGAAAATGTAACAAATCTTCACAGTTTATTTTCTCGAAAGTTTTGTCTTTTGAAGTGTGATTTTTTATAAAGGATATTTAAAAGTTTATAAATTAATTCAAAATATACGATAAATGTAATTACTTTGGCTAAAAATAACTAAATTGATCGGTATATCAACACCGACAATTCTTTGCTTACGAGTTAGACATATAGAGGATTAATAGTGGAATACCATTTAAACTGCAGAATTTATAAATATGCATGATGAAATAAACTGCCCAAGTCCAACGAAACAATGAACTAAACAAACCACAACAATTTTGATAGATGAAACAAAGACAATACGAAAGAGAATTGCATACATACAAGTTTACAACACAAAAATTATTATAAAGTCGATTAAATATTATTTCATTATTAATAATAAATGTAAGATTAGTAAATTAAAAGAAACGACCGTAATAAAAGTAGAAACATTTACATATCATGAAGATCTAAAATAAAAGCATTACAGAAGTTAAACAATATAAAATTAAGATAAGAAATTAATATTTATGTTTATTTTAAACATCGTTAAGGAAATATAAGCGATTAAGCAACAGTGTATACAGTCTAAATACAGAAAACGAGAGGAAGTGACGCAAATAGGGCAGTAAACTAAATAAACTAGAAAGGATTCGAATAAAAAAAATTATGACATTTATTTGGTTTTATAAGATGGGTAAGTTATCAAGTTTCCATCGCAAGATTAGAAAAATTGGTGTAGCCTTCCGTTTTCATAATCTTTATGATGTGAAAAAATCAACAAGATTTTTTTTTATCAATTTATTTAACAATTATTTAACAAAAATAAACTCTTTAGTTATGGGATATTCTTTAGAATTAGGAGAGATTCGCTAATCGAGAGATTTTCTCATGAATGACTTTTGTCAAAGTATTACACTGATTGAAATATTAAAAATCAACCATTTCAAGCGAAGGACAATCAGGAAAAAAAAATATTGATTTCCAAGTGTATAAAACATCTATCTTTATCTTTTTGGCTCTCTGCGAATTTCATTGCTAAAAAGACAAATTTTTTAAATATTAATTTTAAAACAGTCGTATAGCTGAGGGGATAAAGACGTCAGCCTACACTGAGGAATCCGGGATCAAATCCGGTAGAGCAACCTTGGGAATATTTTATGGGAGATAAGTCCCAGAAATGTAGGAAACATGGGCGAACCCACGATGGATATGGAATAAAGACTATCTTGAAGAAAGGACTAAAAAATAAAGAAAAGATATATTAATTGTAAGTTGAATAAAATCACATGACAGATCTTTGATCTCTCGAAAGATACTTCATGTGTAAAAAATGAAAGAAATTAAAAGTATTTATTCTTCTATATCTACAGAAATTTCGTAAATTCTAGATTTTCACGAGCTAGTTGAACAATAACCAATAAAAGTCAATAGAAGTGTATCATAAATTTATTACTATAAGTAAAATATATTGTATATTATACTTATCGTGTATTTTCTTCTAAATGGTATTGAAATCAGTGACAACATTAACTTAGAAACTCTCAAATGATTTTATTGATAAGCAAATAACGTTCGAAGTCATATATATGTGTATGCCTATTAAAAGAAGCTTAAAGTTAGCAGAAGAAAAAATATAGATTTGATAACATACTCAAGTGAATGTTATTATTATCAATGGATTTAAGTTTATCTACATAGTTTATATGGATTACGCATTGTTATTGAAAGATGAACGTCGTATAGTAGTCGATCACACTTTGTTGTTCTCTCAGTCGAGATGTTGATTCCTTTCTTTAAATAGACATTTATAAATAAAGAAAATCAATCAATAAATAAAGAAAAGAATTTCAATTCCGGGATTTAATCGAAGAAATACGGTATATTTACGCTGAATATCTTCTTAAATCTTTATTATTAAACACAATAAGAAAATGATCTTCAATGTTGTGAAATGACAGAAACGCACTTCTGTAAGAATACTCGAACCGAATAAATAGAAATCAATTACGTGTAATTGCAGATTGCTGTTCNTAAAATATATGCTCTCCATCTCAAATTAGTAGTGGCTTGTTTTTGTACAGAACTGAACAGTACTGTACAGTACATCATACTTTTCCTTTAACACTAGACTCGTGCCGGTCATCTGTTAACTGCTTTCAGGGGAAGTTTTAAATTGAAATAACGTGCCTTCCAGTTTTTATCGGAAGTTCTTATATAGTTAATCGGGCCTCCTGCCTCTAAGTTTTCCATATCTGGTCTCGTTTTTAACTAATTCCGTTCTTGAGATTAAGAAAAAACAGACAGACAACCAGACGGACGACTGTGGTGGGAATTTATAGGTCTACAATTTTTTCAAATTGCAGCCCAATACATATAACCTACGTTCGGTTTTTTATAAGTACTTGTGTAAATTTTTATAAATAGACAAATTCTTTAGGAGCCATAAATGAGTAGGCTAAGTATTTTTCTAATAACTCCAAATCTTCATTTTCTGTTTGAACGATAATTCTTATTTCCTAAAATTTAATTGTTCTTCATTTGCTTATGGGAGGAATTACAGCGTCTTATATGACGTTTACGGTGTCCTAAAAGCGAGTTAAAACTAAATGAAATTATGTATAACTTTAATATTATAAAGTATAAACTAATCGCCTGGTAACGTTCGCGAAGTAACTAGAGGAAAATCATTTCGCTTCGGCGAGTTTATTTGAATAAGAGTGTGTGAGCGAAGAAGTCATCTTAATTAGGACCAACATAAAACTGTTAGTTCTATACGTCGATTCGTCTCTATCTTCTTAATAACATATTCGAAGTAGTATTTCTGGTTCCTTACAAGAAACTGCATTTGACATTTGGTATTCGAACTGAATAGACATGTAGAGACTCTATATTTCGTAAGCAATGCTTAACTAATTCTATAAATAACTTAAAGAGAAACGTCACTAATTATATAATAAAAAACAGATCAGAATATAACAGAAATTTGGAAAACACTAACCACGTGTTTTAAAAGTTTTACTCTAAAGTATATTCTGGAACTTTAAATTCCATTTAAGCTTTTAAACTTTAAGTTTGAAAGCTACTTTACTAACTAATATAAATAAAATCTTATTTGAATCGATTAAGCAATAAAAGGCGATAATCATTAACGAAAGTATTTTTTAATTGCGCTTAATGTAAATCGATCGAAAAGATGATGGATTATTACAATTCAAATACGAAATTCGAGCCGTTTTACCACTAATATTTGTAAATATTTGATAAATGTATATTAATTTTTTTTAATTCGACCTTAATTCTATTTTTAATATCTAGTAATTTTCATTTTGCATATTTTGAATTTTTTAATACTTATTTTATCGATAATATTGATCGTTTTATTTTAATTGTCGTTATCTTTTTAATAAATGAAAGTTCGAGACGTTCGTAATAAAATTTTATATCAATCGACAGATGAAAGTATTAAAATTTTTGACTTTCGAGTAATATCTGTTCTGTGAACAAAAATAAACTAAACTTTTGTCTTAAAAACGTAAAAACAAGAGAAATATTTCTATCCTACGAAGCCATTATTATTAAGAGTTATTATTAAATTAAATGTCCGAAAAAAATAAAATGCTCCTTACCTCTTCTTCCGATAATTCTTTATCCTCCGAAAGATTTTTGTGCTCTTTCAGCCAATTTTGCTTGGCTTCTTTCAATTTCTGAGTTTCGAATTTTGCATCGTCCACTAAAGAACGTCGTCTCGAAGGATATCCATGCTGTAAGAATTACTTAATGTATTATTTAAAATGTTATATTTCGATATATTTTTAAAAATTAAACTAGTTTAATTTACTAATCAGAATATATTCCTCCAAATAACGTTTGTAGATTGATAACTTCGTCGAATTCATATAAAAATATAATCTAAAATTCACTTACAGAATGTATTAAAGTATTACGAGTAAATGAAAATCGATAATTATATCGGCAGGTAAATTTTATTCTTATAAAAACAGATTCATCGTTTTAACAGAATTCATTAAGCAAAAAGGTTCCTCGCGGGGAATATCGAGAAAAGGAGATCCTCGCGCAAAAATAATTACTTAGTTTTACTAGAGAAATTCCCAAACGGGAATAACGCGAATCTTCCAGATAATCCTCGAAGGACGATACCTGAAAACAACTATTTGTTTTTTGACGTTTACTCCCGTCTCGACGTCATCGATTTTACTTATACGTCAAAAAAAAGAGCTATCATTCGTCATCTACTGCCGTGTGACGTAAGATCCATAATCCGTTTCCGTCGATTCCCGACTAAGGTATTAGCCTAATCCATCTTCCAATCATTTGTTAGTCTCCGTCGCCGTCGTTCGACTTTTATTCGTTTGTTTATCGGAATTAATACGTTTCGTCTAAGCGTTTATCGCCTTCTTCCTTTAGCAAAACGTTTAATAACCTTAAGAAGAAACAAGCATATTACATTTAAGAAACTTTCCACGTTCTTTGGAGAGAAGGAAGGAAGCACTTAACTCGGTGACGATAAACTCGGCACGAGACCCATTCGCGGCAGATTCTGTGGAGAAAACTACTTTCTAACCTGCGATATTTTCAATTTTGTATCGTTAGTTAAAGCTTCCATTATAAATTCAAAACTATTAAAGTTTATTAATTAATTTAAATAGGAACATCGGAAAAAGTTGCGCTTCGAATTCCTGTAGAAATGTAGTTTTGTTCGTAAACGTTTATGACGATTTACTAAATTACAATTAATTTCTTTATTTTTTGCCAGGAATTTATTTAAGAATCGGACAATATAGATGAAACGAACGATAATTAGTCTAAAACTAATTTAAAATTCAACAATCGCTAGTGTAGAAAAATTGCGGTTTTCGGCTCTGGTAGTTTTTGTCGTGGAAGAGACGAAGATGGAAAAGATGTCAGTCCGTCACGCCGTCGGAAACACGCGAAAAGGGTCGATCTTTGGAAGGTGACGCAATTAAAGGACAGATCGGTCCCACACTCGGGTTATTCTTCGATCCTTTTTACATCACTTCCTGTCCGTCTGAAAGAGACGCTCTCCGACCGGAACTTCTTCGACTTGCCTATTGTGACGTCTTCAATGGAACTAATCTATTGTAAATATCTTAGTCTCGAAAAATTGTGCAAATCTGAAAATCGAACGAACGAATTCTTTTTGTGTCAATTACGCCCATTTATATCACGAAATTACCTATAGATAAAAAATACGAATTTCGTGATGTACAGTAAGTGATATAAATTTCTCGATAACAAGTATTAAATAATTGCATATTAACTCAGACGAAAATAATTTTTTTTCATATCAAACTATTACACATCTCAATATATATTTTGCAAGATTAATTTTAAAAAACGAGCATTTTTTATTGAAAATTTTCTGAAAGCGGATCTTCTCGTTTTCTATTTATCGTAAAATTAACTGAACACCCATCAATTGGCTGCCCTTTCTTATAATTCGAGTGTTTAATAAACTTTTAAGGCAACTGCAGAGCGAAAGTTAACGATATAATTTAGATATGAGAAAATATTCGACGGCGTAGTTTCATAAATTGTAGATTCTAGAACCCCGATTGAAGAAAAGATCGATAATTTTAGGCTCTTCTAAATAAAACTAATTAATATTTCTAACTTGCATAAACGTAATGTTAAAAATGACATCCGAATAACGATAATGTATTTCAAAATGTCTATTTGTATCAGAAGACCGTATGGATAGGAATATTTGTTCTTGAACTTGTCTATTTAGGATAGAATCATCTATTCGCTCATTATCGAAGAGTTTTAAATTAGAAATAAATAGGCCTAAATTGAATATAGTATTTAAAACGTAATATATAAATATATAAGATTGTTATTTAAACGAATTGATATTATTTACTCTATAATAAAGATGTCGATGGAGTTTTATTACACAGATTAGACCACGTCGAGATTAAAAATAAGCTTTAAATAGAGTCCGGAGATTTAAATATCGAATTATTATAGCTAATTTCAACAAGTTGAATTAGGAAAAATTATCTTCTTTAACTCGAGTGGTAAATTTTAATTCAGTAAACTTTTTAAATGTCTATTCACACGTTTTACTCTACAGTGGCAAAGTGTAGAAAAACACTGTAAGCGTTATCTACAACATATTCGTGTCTAACTTGTCAACAAATGAAATTTTCCAGAATTTCGAAATAAGAAGAAGATAAAAATTAAAGTTATAGAATAAATAATTTAATCCATAAATCTACACGATAGATCAAAGAAAAAGATTAGAAATGATAATGTCTCGGCATGCGCCGTTTTTGTTAAGACAAGTGCCTTCGAGTTTTCAAAAAGGCAGTTCGAAGAAAGAAGACCCGAACTCGGATTCTCATATTGAAAGAACGATAGAGTGACCACAGAAGACTATAGAGAGAAAGTTAGCAATATAATTTAGATATGAGAAAACATTCGATACATATTTTCAAAAATACATTATTTTGAGTAGGGCGGATCTACTCCATTATTTGATATCAAAGATAGGTAAAGGGAATCATGTCAAAAGAATCAGTAGCAATCAATAGCAACTTTCATTTATTACTTAAGCCAGAAATGTTCGAAGGAAATATTAATTAATACTATCGCATTCTATTCCTCTCTCCGGCAATTCTCTGTAGTCGAAATTTCTTATTAACAATTAAAAATTTAAGAATCTTTATTATTGCTAAAAAATTACAGCTACAGACAGACAACTGGTGAATAATACATGTTAAACATTAAAAGTAGTGTCTAATAAAATATCAGGAATTAAATTCATTATGTAACAATAATTCAAAATTAAAAAAAAAATTCTCTACAACTGAATCAAATTTTATAAATCCTGTATCATTACTTTAGCTTGTATCTAGCAGCTTTTATTTATTTATTTGCTTAAAAACCACTAAGAAAATACTACAGATATGATAAGGGATTATTTATTTCCATCTTTGGAAGATGAATCGATTATTTGCATTATTTCATAATCAATTTATAACTCTGGAACTAATAAAACGAAATTCACTTCTAGAATTATTTTTCAATTCATTGCCGCGATCGTCTATTGCAGTGTTTCTCAACCTCTAACGAATCGTCGCCCCCTTCAACGTAGTGTCGCCCCATTAATAAAANTGTTAAACATTAAAAGTAGTGTCTAATAAAATATCAGGAATTAAATTCATTATGTAACAATAATTCAAAATTTAAAAAAAATTCTCTACAACTGAATCAAATTTTATAAATCCTGTATCATTACTTTAGCTTGTATCTAGCAGCTTTTATTTATTTATTTGCTTAAAAACCACTAAGAAAATACTACAGATATGATAAGGGATTATTTATTTCCATCTTTGGAAGATGAATCGATTATTTGCATTATTTCATAATCAATTTATAACTCTGGAACTAATAAAACGAAATTCACTTCTAGAATTATTTTTCAATTCATTGCCGCGATCGTCTATTGCAGTGTTTCTCAACCTCTAACGAATCGTCGCCCCCTTCAACGTAGTGTCGCCCCATCAATAAAACCGTTATGTAGTATCGCCCCCTTCACTACAAAATTACGATGCCGAGGGCCAAGGCTAACGCCAAATTCGTACTGCATTGAATAGACTAGTGACTAGTATAATGTTATTTGTTTAATTATTGTACGATATAACGAATAAAATATCTAATTATTCTTAATATAATGTTTTACTATATCGCCCAGAAAATTGTTTTTTGCCCCTCCTAAAATATAAATTGTTACTAATCGCCCCCTCAACATGGAAAAACGCCCACATGGGAGCGATATCGACCCCGTGGAGAAACACTGGTCTATTGGATTCGTTAACAGCGAGATACAGAAAAAGAGAATTTTCTAAAATTATCAAGGTTAGGTAATTCATCAACTTAACATTTAAACCATAAACTGAACTCACTATTAATATAATAAATAGTCGGAAAAAAATCTGTAACTCTATTAACGCGGCAAAATTATAGAAAAGGTCGAAGAGAATATGTAGAAGAATTTTGAGAATTTGCGTAATTCAAATTTTTTAAGCATAATACATTTTAAACTTTATCTTCTCGAACAAATTATTTCTCTGACCTGTTCGATATTTATTATTTATTACATGCGAGAATGTCGAATCTTGAATAAATGGTGAAAATGGTCAAAATAACGATCAAATGGTAAATATTATTCGATCGAAACTGATTTACGAACTTCAGTCTCGGATACATTTTTGCTACAGTTTTATCCTTTTATGAATATATTTTTAGAGAACAACACATAAACGGTGCATAAAGAGACAATTCTTGGTAAATTCGAGTTATAACGATCCAATCTTTTATATAATTGAAGAAGGATATGAATTCTTAAAGCATCTGTTCACAAAACGGCAATTTACGAGCCGCAAATTCTGTGTCGATGATAAAGATTTATGCATTGAAATCGGGAATCGACTGAGTATTCGCACGATTATGAGTCCCCTTGTCTCTGTTGTTACTCATGTTTTTCTTTGAATTTTTATTTATCCAGTTATTTTTATTTTTATTTATTCAAAATATTTATCCAGTAAATTAAGCAATAACCTAAATTCAGTTGCGACAGATTTTTATTGCCTTTGTAAACATTTATAACCTCAAAAAATGCGATTTTAAGCAAATTAAAAACTCGATAATATTCTTAAATGGGATAATCGAGTACTTATTCGTGTTTTGATATTTTATTTCTATATTCTAGGTCTATAAAACCGTGCGGAGTGTGGCGTCACTGAACCATTTTCGAAAACGATTCAATAATTATCATGATAAATACGAAAGTCTCCGGGAAAATAACTTTATAAAATATTATCATCCATCGACAGAAGTATAAAAATATTTTAATCACAAGCGGCTTAGCTTTCATTAACTATTCATTCAATCTTCGAGCTAATCGGATTAACAGCCATTGTCAGATTTTCCTTTATACTCCAATGCCTATCATTCACCAAAATTCGATATATTGCGGACCTTTACCTATCTACCATATTCACCCTAATTTATTTTTTAAAATAAATAATTTACATATTAATATAAAAAGTATCAACGTACAGTACAGTACAGTACGTCACCTTCTCTATAAGTATTTCGATTTAAATGAAAAATAATTTATTACAACAAGAGATATAGAAAAGGTAAAATTAAGAGAGAAGTCTTAATTAAACTTTATAAAAGAATAACCCACCTCGATGCTATAACCTTTGATAGCAAATCTGGCTCTGTTACTCCTAGTTGACGTCATGATGCCTACCTACCGCCCGATCCTTCGCTTCTCTCTAAATATTCACTGCTGACCAATCACGTTCAAGGACTGAGATTGATACTTTTTATTCGTCCCTCACGACACTAAATTTTGATATTTCTTAAACATACGCGATCTTCTAATTTGTTAATGCTGTTTTATACACAATTTCTTGTCAACAATTATACAACAGTCTACGCAAAAAAGTATATTTACAAAACAAAAACGACCAAAAATATATCTAAAAGTATAAATTACCGATATTTTTAAAAACTTTTTAAAATTTTATAATGCAATTTTACTGGTTAAAAGCAAGTCATAGTTTTTACGAAATTTTGTGTAAACCTGTTGAGTTAGACACGGTATTGTTCGGAAAGTTGGGACATGTATGGAAAAGTTGACACATACAGTACATGTGTCAACTTTCCCATCTAATTGTTATAACAAACGGTGACCTCCGATAAAATTCTCACCAGGAGCGTTTTTTCTATCGGAGTTGTTTAATTTTTGTTTTTTCGACAACTGCGTTAAATTCGCGGATTTCACATAAGGTAATCAAAAACGTAAATCAAAATATTAACGCATTTTCTTGGCACCAACACGCTAGAAAACACAGAAAATAGTCGCAAAAGAGAGTAAAAATCGGTAAGGTACTCGATAGGACAAAAGTCTTTAATTAAAATTTATTCGTACGATAAAATGCTCGCGACTTCCAACCAGGTTACGGTTGGTAACAAAGCGTCCCGCCGAGAATTATGTAAATGAGTTGGGATTTACAAAGAATTATTATTATTATTTTTTTTTTTACTGGAGCGATAATAGAGAGTCGGAGGAAGATAGCGGTAATCCGACAGACGAAGACGTTTAAACAAGAAAACGGTCGTTAATAAAACAAATAATGTCGTTAGAAAAGTGGGTGAATTACTCGACTAATTTTAACTCGGCCATTCCGTTTATCGGCCCGCCGCGTTGCTATGGAAACCTTGATCCCGTATTTTCATAAAGGAAAGATCTCCGTCCACTAAAGCGTCGTCTTCGCAAATTAAGTGTTCAATTTTCCATTTTTATACGGTCAATAATTTCAATATATATTCTATAATACTGTATATTAATTTGGGAGTTCCGTGTAAAAAAAACTAAAATTATTGAAAATATCAGTGTAAAAAGCTATTTGGACGTTTTAATTTTATTATAATGTAAAACTTCTATAAAACAAAGAAATAAATTATTACACCTAAGATATTTAGCCTATTATTAATACAGATAGGGACCAATTCTAGGATCTATTTGATGGTGCAGATTATTAATATGTCATTAAGTAGCCACCAGAATTGGCTGTAAAATAAACCCTACAAAATATAAGTCAAATTAGGACCGAATAATAGGCCTATAGAATTACTATAGGCCTATTATTCGGTCCTACTTTTACTTATATTTTGCAGTAGTTTTGTCTTTTTAGATTCTCCAGGACAATAGAAAAATGGGAATTTAAAATCAAAATATCTTTGAAATTGTTCTCATCGTAAAATTAACTGTTTTTCTCGACCCTTCGACGACGTGTCAATAGTTCCAGCCAACATCTTACTCTAGAACAGTGTTTTTCAACCTTTTTCATTGAGTGGCACCCCTGATTGAAAAATAAAAAATCGTGACACCCTTGACCAGCGGCGGATCTGAATAAGGGGGCTAATGGGCCAGATAAANAATTTCCGAACCGTGTTAGAGTGAACCCGTGCTATAAAAGCATCGTGTTATACGGGGGATGTTCCCAATTCTCGAACCGTGTTAGAGTGAATCCGTGCCATAGAAGTGCCGTGTTATACGGGGGTTACCTGTAATTTATAACTCGAAAACTTAATTTGAAAATGAAACACAACAAATTATTTGTAATCTTAATTTAATCGACTTCCGATATTATTGTAAAAATTTTTAAAATAATTTCGTTTCAGTGTTATATTATTTCATACAATTGTCATGTTTTAATTTTCTCGGGTCTATAAAATAATTCAGGTAGAACGTGATTATAATCAAAACAAAAATTAGTTCATAAAGTGAATTAGAAAAAATCTGACACCTACTCGCTTAGAAAAAATAATTAATTGTTAAAAACATTTGATAATTTATTTCAAATTGTCACGTTTTAATTTACTCAACAAATTTTTATTTTAAAAAATTATTATTACAAATTAGTACAACTTAATTTTATAATAAATTTAATAATTAAATGGAATATATTAAACTTATTATTAAAATAAAATTAATTTAATTCAAATTTGTGATCAGAAAATTAAAACTAAATTTTTTTAATTTTAAAAACATAAGTTTCACATTAACAATTTGATAAAATGGATGAAATAATTGAATATAATCGTGATATAATATCAAAAACAGGAAGAAAAGACATTTGGTATATCAGTGAAAATTCTATATGGTCAGTAAAAAATATTTATGTATAGAATCTTTTTACTATTTTCTTACTAAATATAAAATAATACTAATCCTAATTTTTATTTGTATAAAATTACAGAATGCGATACTAATAGATTTTGAAGCATTTCAAGTTATCGATGGTTGGCCATAAAAACATTACACAGTCCTATAGAAGCTGTAATAGACATTTATATAGATTCTGTTAAAAAGTATCAATTATCGGCGAAAGATCAATGGCAAGTCAATTTTACTAGCAAAAAAATTCATGAATTAAATTTTACAGACAAAGAACATCGGATATAACTGGCCGGATCAAACATAGTAATTTACAAAACTTATTATTTCACAACATATAATGAATTATTTTTATTTAAAGGTGGACAGATAGGAAAAAAAAATCTTTTTAAAAATTGGAACTACAATTATTTAGACATCAAACTTCTTGGGGTGTCTATGATTGGATAATATTAAAAAATTGTTATTGCCGCAAATATTTTAAAAAGCATTGTTCTTTTTGCGATATTTAATCTTACGAACAATTCTTAATTAAACAAAAACCAAATATTTTCAAAATCAATACATTTTATAGGTAGGTATTTAATAAATAAGTAACAAATATAATTTAAATAATTATTATATTAAACTATTTCCCTATTTTACTTTGTCTTTGTTGTATACAAATGTTGTGATGGTGGTGGTGTAGAATGTTTTCGTTTAAACGGTCAAAAAGAACACAGTACACGCTTCCTTTCTAACAATAACAACACAAAAAAATACTTTAATGTCTCCAAATCAGCGAGTCTGGCACTCCACCATTTTTTGATAGTTACAATACTGGACCAGCCACACAGCTACCCACTTTGGTTAGCTCCCCGGTCAGTACCTGCTTCCACACACACACTATCTGACTCTACACACCCTCTAACTAGGCGGGACAATCTCCCCCACACTCCCGGGGACACCGTCACCTCACCCTCCCGACACGTGTGACAAAGCTGTGGACTGTCCATCACCACTTGACGACATCCACACACCTGACACATTGTCTGACACATGTTACACTGAACTTAACAGTCTTATTGCTATAATATTATTTCAAATTGTCGTGCTTTAATTTACTTGAATATTAGNATAATATTAAAAAATTGTTATTGCCGCAAATATTTTAAAAAGCATTGTTCTTTTTGCGATATTTAATCTTACGAACAATTCTTAATTAAACAAAAACCAAATATTTTCAAAATCAATACATTTTATAGGTAGGTATTTAATAAATAAGTAACAAATATAATTTAAATAATTATTATATTAAACTATTTCCCTATTTTACTTTGTCTTTGTTGTATACAAATGTTGTGATGGTGGTGGTGTAGAATGTTTTCGTTTAAACGGTCAAAAAGAACACAGTACACGCTTCCTTTCTAACAATAACAACACAAAAAAATACTTTAATGTCTCCAAATCAGCGAGTCTGGCACTCCACCATTTTTTGATAGTTACAATACTGGACCAGCCACACAGCTACCCACTTTGGTTAGCTCCCCGGTCAGTACCTGCTTCCACACACACACTATCTGACTCTACACACCCTCTAACTAGGCGGGACAATCTCCCCCACACTCCCGGGGACACCGTCACCTCACCCTCCCGACACGTGTGACAAAGCTGTGGACTGTCCATCACCACTTGACGACATCCACACACCTGACACATTGTCTGACACATGTTACACTGAACTTAACAGTCTTATTGCTATAATATTATTTCAAATTGTCGTGCTTTAATTTACTTGAATATTAGAACAAATTGCAAAAATTATTATTGCAAATTAATTTTATAATAATTAGAAAGAATATATTAAACTTTGCCTTATTGTTAAAATATTATTTGAAATTGTCGTGTTTTAATTTATTCGGATAATAGAACAAAAAAATTGCAAATATATATTAATAATTCTCAACCACAACGGATATTAGTACAAATTGTAAAAATTATTATTGCAAATTAATTTTATATGAAGCAGTGAATTGAACTAAGAAGTTTTCTAAATATGAAAATTTTTCGTAAGAAATGAATTGAACTGTTTCCTAAATATTAAAATTATTTATAATCTTAATTTACTCGAGAAATTTCTGATCTGAAAATAATTTAATAAATAAAAATAAATAATAGTCTAATAATTACGATATAAAAACTTAATTCCTATTCCTAATTCTATTGTGGATTGTGATTATAAATAAAAGTTATTCTATATCAAAAATTGAAAGATTGCTGTAAAATTTTTTTTAATTAAGAGTTTTCTTAAAATCTATCTAAGTTAAATAAAATCGTCATTAAAAATTAACGATAAAAACTTAAAGGAATAGGTTACGATAATTAATATAAATTACGAAAATTGTAAACTTGATCTGATAAATTGTTAAACAAGTTAATGATAAAAATAACGAATCTGATGTTTAGATATCTTTGTAAATTTTGTGAATGCTTTTGTAAAACATATAAATAACACCTTATCTTTGCCGAGAAATATATTTATTTCAAAACAAACGTTTTCAGCCTGATTTACAGGCCATTCTCAGGTTGAGAAACAAATTTGAATTA